TTTTTTTTGAACGACGGGTAAAACAATTACAAAGATGGTACTGAAAATTTAGTCTTTTTGCCTTGTCGGTTTAACCCGTGACAAATAGTGTTCGAAAAAGAAGTCGTTCAGTTGAAGTTATGTCATATTAAAAATCATTAAATCGATGTCGTAATTTAATAAAAATAACCGGTTTTTTTTTTTTGAACTTTCCAAAAACATTCAAAAAGTTATACGTAATCAGGTAGACTATAGAAAACAAGGGGAGAGGAGGGGAAATAAGTTGTTTTTTCTTTTCATCAAATTATTTGAACAAAAACTGATTTTGCCATTTGGATGTCTAATTCTCAAATAGGTTCAATACTTACAAAAATCATAGCCCGCAGATAATGAAAAAAGTTGGCTTGAAAATTACTTTCTAAAAATTTTGTTTCTTTCCTCTTCTATACATTTTTGTTATAACTTTATGATAATATTGCAGAAAAAAAAATTCAAAAATTCAACGAAAACAACATATTACACATTGCTGTGTAATATGTTGTTTTTGGTTCCTTGACGTATCATTAAATCAATTAGCCGTTATCAGGCGACAGGTTGAAAGGTTCATAGTGTGAAATAATTAATTTAACGCATAGCATTGGCTCGACTGGTCATTTTTGAAGTTGTCAAACATTATAATGATCTACCGTTAGAAAATTTGATAGAAAAAAAGCAGTTATTTAGTAATTTGTTGCCTTCTAGCAAATTTTTCAACAGATTTGTTTTTGTTCAAACCTATTCAACTGGAATCAACAGAGACATAAGATATTTTTACAGCAATTTATCGCTAATTGATTTGGTATACTACGACTGTACAGTAATTAATCATGTAGAACTACTCATCAAAATTTAGATTGATCCAGCTATTAAGACTCAAGAATCACGATCATCACTGATCTATGTACCGCATGAATTTATTATGCCTGGTGGTCGCTTTCGAGAGTTTTATTACTGGGATGCATTTTGGATAGCCAAGGGACTTCTTGCATCTGATATGTACGAAACAACACGACGAATGATTGAGAACTTGGCATACATTGTTGACAAGTAAATTTTTTTTAATTTGGTTTAGTTGAACAATCACTGTAAATTTTTTTTTTTTGTTTATTACCATCTCTCTGTCAGTGGTAAAAGAAATGAAGAGTAAGTGCCAGCAAAATAACACAATTTTTTGCTAGTTTTAAAATTTTTTAATTAAATATTTTCAAGTAAAATCTTCATTTTAAAAATTTTTGAAAGAAAATTATTG